CATCGTTGCTCAGTTCTGAAGTTCGGTGCACCCTAAACGCTGTAGCCTCGGTGGAGAAACAGGACGGAAATGTGCTTCTGTGGAGGCAGCGAAGTGCCTGTGTGCAGTGAGCGAGATATTGAGAGGTTCTGGATTGCCAGATCCTCTTGGTGGGTCTCAGAAAAATTCCTGCTGTTTTCCCCCTGGTTTCTTTCTTTAGTTTAAAGCCCTAAATGGCTTGGGTCCTGGATTCCTGAAGGAGCGCCCGCCCCTCAGAGCTTAGAGGCCCTCCTCTGGGAGCCCTCCTTGAAAAAGATTGGGAGGGTGATTACCCAGAGAACAGCCTTCTCTGCAGTGGCACCCCGACAGCGGAACATGCTCTCCAGAGAGGTCCGCCTGGCACCAACGCTTCTTTCCTTTTGGTGTCAGGCAAAACCCCTTTTATTCTCCCAATATTTTAATTGTTAATTTGTTTTAATTGGCGGCTTTATATTTAATATCAGATGCTGTGCCACTCCCATTCTTCTTTCTTTCTTTATTCTATTTCATTAATGGAGCTGTAAACCATCCCAAGACGTCTGTAATGGGACAGTATAGAAATACATAAATAAAGCCCAGAGTTTGGGATCCACCGTTTGTTCCAGTGGGGCCATTATAAATAGGGATCATTGGGCAAAAGGGAGGGTTTCTTACAGCACAGGTGGATGCTGGTTTGGACCAAAAACTCACCTGGTCCGGTATTGTTCTTCCCACCATGGCCCAAGAGATGCTCTTCTTGGGAAGCCATGAGCAGGCCAAGAAAGCAAGAATCCTTGTTCACTGTCGATTCCCAACAAGCCGTGTGATACAGTGGTTGGACAGCTGGTCTGCAGAGGCCTGGGTTCTAATTCCCACTTGGCCACAAGCCTCATTGGGTAGCACCAGCCATGGATTCCCAGCCTAGCCTACCTCGCAGGGTCGTTGTGAAAGGAAACGAGAGAACAAAGAAAATAGTTGGACTGCCTTGGACATCCTGGAGGAAAGGGCTGATATGTCACAAGGACTTAACATAACAGGGGAAGCAACACTGGGCAACTTGCTTTTCAGACTTAGCCAAACTTGGACAACAGCCTGAGCCATAATTATACAAGTCACGATGCTCCCGCCAGGGTGCGATGTACTGAATTTCTATTTTCAGTACAGTAATTATTCTGAAAATCACACAGATAACGTCTCAATTAGCACATGCAAATTTCTCTGCCCTCTTTTTTGCAGTGCATCAGGGGCACAGCATACCAAAAAGGTACCTGAATGGTGGACATTTGCAAGACACTCCACAATGCCGGACAGGGCAAGGAAATAAAGCCAAAAGGAACAAGGAAAAGGAGGGCCCTTAATTACAAAACCAACCAGGGGAGTTGCACTTGGCTCATTAGACGGCCTTAATTAGCCTCATTTTAATGAACAAACATCCAGATTCCTGGGGCTGTGATCCCAGTCTGCCTCGTAAAAGGAATTGCTTCTTGTTCGGTTTGTTTTCTGAACCGGAGGCACCGACAATGTGTTGTCCTTGGTGCAATCCTATGCAGGTTTAGACAGAAAATCTGTTTATCCTCTTTAAACATGACTAGAGGTGCACTTTTAAAGGAAAACAAGATGGGTTTCTGCACCTCCAGGCACACCCAAAGTTGAGTTTCCAGCTTTGCAATGCTGTGGTGACTCGAAGCAGTCTTCTGGGCACAAGGGACTACAGTGCCCATCATCGCCAGGTCGAGTGGGGATCCCAGAATTCCTGACCAGAGCAGGTGCTCAGAGATTCACAAATCTTAAGAGCCTCCCCAAGCTCTAATCCACTGTTTTGCACTTGGGTTCAGTTGATGGGTCCTGGGTTTGCAGAAAGTTCAACAGGGGGTGCCCAACTTTGTCATTCCCTCATATTTAGCCTCACATCTCACCCCAAAGAACAATCTTGGGGAGCTGCTTAGTAAGTCAGTCCCCTTCCAGATATAACCGCGTGCTGGTTTTTGCGAATATCTTTCTCTGAAGTGCGACCAAGCGCGATCCACTCGGGTATTTCCTGGAGGCTGGCAAGATTCTTTCGGACTGTTTTAGCTCTCGAGATGTCCAACTCAAGCACTGTCTGTACACTTTAAACGTCTTTAAACCCCTGCCTACTGAGATGCTGATGAACCCTGCACCCACAGCAAAATGAAATCCCACAGATTCGCACAATAGACAGAAATGTTTAAAGCTTCCTTTCCAAAGAAACACGGAGAGGAAAAGGGCTGGGCCCCAATTACGTTTTCTGCAGAGCAATCAGACTTGTTTTGCACTTTGGTTTTATGCAGCAGGAAAACTTTATATAGATGCTTATTGTGCCATTAACTCCGAGGGCCGTCTTTCAAGCACTCTTCTCCACCCGCAGTCTTAACAGGTTCAAGCGATACGTTTGTGGTTTAACTGAAAGTAGCAGCAATCTTCAGCAGATCTTTCTTCAACTCTTTACCAACCCACCATCTCCCTTCCCGAAGAAATCCGTCCCTTTAGAATAAAGGAAAAGATGAAGGAAAAAAGGAGTGGATTCATCTAACAGAATGAGATCGGAGCAGATGTCCATTAAGTGTTTCTAGATTCAACTGACAGCACCCACCTTGTGCCCTCAGGGTGAAGGTAGACTGTCTTTAACTGTGGAGGCTCCACATGGCTCCACGTGCCTATTCCCTAGAGGGAATGGGTTTGTTCATGCAGAAAGGTCTGTTTTTCCAACTCTCACGTCCGAGGGGGTTTGGACTGACCCCTGTGGGAGATGCCTGGATCCACTCCCCTGGGAACCGTTTGCAAGAGCTGGACTGGCTTCTGAAAGATGGTTTCACTTTGCATGCACAACGTTCCAGGTGCAGTCCTTGGAATCGTAAAGAGCCTTCGGGGCATTTAAAGTGCAAGTCCGTGCACGGAAAGCAGGCGTTCTCCTGCGGAGCTTCGATTCTGTCTCAGTGGAGGCTGTTGGTCCCAGCAGGGTGGTGCAGCCGCTCCCGCTTTCTACTCGAACTTTTAAGGAGATCCGCGGCGTGGAACGGCTAGGCCAAAATGAGGTTCAGCACCACGGAGAGGTGGCAGTGGAGTGTGTTGGTCTGTCAGCCTCAGGTTGGCCTTCCCATCAAACTAAGCAAGATTCTAGTCCATTGCAGAAGGAGCTGACCCTAGTAGGAACACTGCAAGCTTAGCAAATCAGTTTATTATTTCAGACCAGGTTCTCTCTTGGCCTGACCTGGAAAGCCAAATAGAAACCGTTGTTTCTTAACCAGCTACGGACCGCAAATAGAAGCCATGGTTTATTGCTGGCTTACGAAGTCCAGCTTGTTTAAATGATGGCCTGTTGTGGCATCTTGAACCCAGGACCGTGGCCTATCCCTGCCTTGTTCGAGCTGCTGCCCACCCTGAAACGGGAGTACCCAGCAGTTGCAATAAACCATCGTTTACCAAGCATGGCTTGGCATTAGGTGTGAACCTGGCCAGAGCTGGGCACTCACCCTCCTACTTTCCTTAGAGGGTGCAATTGCTGAAGCCTTGGCTGAAGGAGAAAAACATTCTAGTTTTTAAAAGAGAAGCAACTGGTTTGTTAATAGACGAACCTTCACTCCCCTCCCAAAAAGATCTCTAGAGATTTAAAAAAGAATGACTTTCAATTCCACAAATTACCTTCTGTAATCCATATTGTACTTTTCTATGCTCCATTTGGGGATTTATTCTGTACTGAGTTTTCATGATTTATTGGTACATTATTGTATCATCTTTTTAATTAGTCTGTGCAATGCCAACAGGACTCATTTTGAGGCATTTAATAATAATTATAATTCAGAAACGTACACATAAACACAGATAATACCCGTCTCTTTCTCCCCGAGGAAGAAAACACAAACTGTAGTTCTTTGTTTAAAGGAAAAACAAAATAAAACCTAGACATCTGCTTTCTCCAGCCTGGAGAGTTTGACCTTGAATGCTAATTAGATTCTGCAAGCGAGCGAGCAGAGAAAATCTTGCCTTTCTCATGCATCTCGCTCTCTCTGGCCCCATGGATATGGGGACAAAACTACAGACAGACTTGTTCCATGGCTGAGCAGAGCGAGGCAGCCAACGCGGGGTTCGGGGCCCTTGGACAGCAGAACCTGACCCTTGTGGGCCCTTTGCTGAACATCGGGGCGGGGAATTTAGATCAACTTGCACAGGAGCCCGTGTGTGGGCAAGGGCGCGGCGATTCCTTCCTGCGGTTCCCAGCAAAACATCTGGAAGGAAGAAGAGGGGCTGGGCGCGGCACAGATGTGCAGGAAGCATGATACGCCGCGTCCTCCTTAAGGCACCCCAGTGCCATTCTTTATAACAATCCCGATGCCCATTTGAGCAGAAAAAAGTCCCTACAATTCCCATCATTCCCAGGATTTATATGCATTTTTCTGGCCTAGCCGTGCACCGGATTGTGACTTTAAGAATTTGAGAAAAGCTCCGCAGGATCAGGCCATGTCCATCCAGTCCCCGTTCCGTCCACACCGAGACCAACCAGCTATCGAGGAAACCGACAAGTAGGACGTGAGGGGAACAGCACCCTTTCACCCATGTTCGCCAGCAACCACGCATTGGTGTACTGCCTCTGGGACTGGAGGTAGTATATTGCCATGAGGACTAGTACCATGGAGAGCCTTCTCCTCTATAAGCTTGTCCAGTCAATTCAAATGGGAGCCCATCATTGCATCTTGCTGCTCAGGAGCCCACGCACTGCCAGATCCGGTTTCAAGGCTGCCTCAGGGAAAAGGAAGCACGTTTTAGCTTTCCACACCTGATCTCCTGTGCGTTCGCAGTATCTTCATTGCAATGATTCCACAGGAATTTCAAATAATACTGTCGATAGTACTCGAATCAGGACTGTGCAGACTTATTTAATCATTAGAATTATGTGCAATGCAATTAACAGAAGATGCACGTTTGAATCTCTTAACCCATGAAGACTAAAAACTTGGGAGTGATGGGGGATTACTCCACCCCACAAAAATGATTAAGAGAAGAATGAAGATGCAGCAAAGGGGTTTTTTATTTACCAAAGTGTGCTGCCATGAGAACGTTAACACCGGCAAATGCATTTCTCCCACACCCAAATTGCAAGAGATGTTTGGAGAAGCGTGTCCAGCAGTCCTGACTGCCCAGGAGGACGGCGAGATGCCAAACAGCCGCAGCCGGAAAGACTGGGGCGGATTCCTCCCCACTCCAGCCCCAGGGTGTGATTCGGCCCGGGGCTGGGCTCCAGCTCAGATCTTGACCACCTCAGCAGTGACGCAGGGGCTTTTCCGCTCACCGTCGGAAACCTTCCGCTGGACGCAGAGACGGCCGTAGGTGCCTCCTACCTGGCCTTTGGTTAGCCGGCCGGGGTTGATACAAACACAGCCAAGGACGTCCTACAGAAAAGCACAAAAGCTGAGCACGCCAAAAGCAGGAACAAAACAGCAGCGTGTGAACAACACACTGCGGCTTTGTCAGAGGGGAGCGCACAACAGGCAGCTGCCTCTGGCGAGAGAGTTAATCGGTTTGCCAGGATGCCAGCCCACAGAGGTAGAGTGCCTCTAAACATGGAGGCTTGATTCACAGTGGGGGGCGGATGCAGCTCGGGTGTACAACCCATGCCAGCTCCAAAGCAGCTTCACCCTCCGCCCCCCCGCAGTCCACACACACCTTGATGAAATATTTCAGGTCCGACGGCGTGATCAAGATATCCGGCGTGACCGGGAGTAGCGTGTACTGGTAGAAATGTTCAAAATCAATGTTCATCTCTTCTGCAGGAGGGTACAACGGGTAGTAGCTACTCAGAATTGGGGGCGAGGGGAGGAAAAGAAACATGGCTATGAATCGCACCTGGTGAAGACTTTTCGGAGAGTGCAGGCACAGGTGCGAATGAGCACGTCGGCATCCGCGTGGCCCCTTCCCCTGCCCTAAGCAACCGGCTTACCTCCTCTGGGTCAAGATGTGCTTGAGAATTCGGGAAAAGCGGTCTAAGACGCTGGAAGAACTGGGTGGAGAGATACCAAGGGGAGGAGGGGAATTGAAGGGAATAATTAAAGCCACTAGAAAAACGCATAAGGCATTTATCAATTAAAACAGGATTAATTAATTAAATTTACGAGGAATGGGCAAGCCGCATCCCCTGCACTTTTCTTCCCAGGCGTGTTAGTCCAGCAGGTTTCCTCCAGGCCTACCTCAAAGGGTCGTTGTACAAATGAAATTAGAAGGCAGGAGAGGCAAGAATGGCAGTCCAGAACTGGCCCACCAACGTAAGGATTAAATGTGTCAGGCCACAGCTGGGGATGATGGGATTCGCAGTCCCACACATCTGGAGGCTCCAGATACGGGAAGGGTGATGGAGAGCGGCCCCTCCGTTGGAAGAAACTGGGCAGGGAAGGGCAGCTGTGAAAGCCTTTGCCTGCGGCGAGAGGGGAAAGGTGACGACCGCGGCTGGCAAAGCGGAGCCGCCTCTCCGTGAAAGAGGAAAGGAGTGACAGATGTGTCTGAGGAAGGCGGAGGACGTGACGCATCCCTGTCGAGACCCGAAACGAGCTTAATTGTTTTGTGACAGGCCACGAGCCGCTTGCACCAGCTGGCCTCAAAGACCCCAAATCACAGGCCGTTTCCTTCCCAGAGTTCTTCGGAAGGGATGCCGTGCACGGTCCTTTCCCTTCTTTTTCAAGAGGTGCCTTCATGCTGGAGCCGATTTGCAGACGTGCAGACAAACCCTTTCAAATCCGTGGGGTCAACGGTCCCCATGACAAGCAGCAGCACCCCGTGGACCGAAAACTCTCCGATCCCACCGAATACTGAGCATCAGTCGGGGGGGAAATGGAAAACTGAGTCTGGATGTGGAACGGCTCACACTGCTTACCATTTATAGCAGCCTGGACAACGACACAATCTGGAGGTCTGAAGAAGCGCGAGCAAGGCTGCACCGCAACATTTCACTGCAGTTCCCACTTTTTTTGTGTGTGCCAAAGGGCTTCACCCAAGAGATGTAGGCTTGTAAGTGTAGCGCAAAAACGCTGGCATGCTACCGGTTCCAGAATCCAAGTTCTAAGAATCCTCCTCTTCCATTAAAATAAACCTTGAGATTCTAGTCCTCAAGGCTGTGAAAGATCTCTTTGAACATGTGCAGGGGGTGTGATACTTGGCAAAGCTTCACAAGCAAGAGGAACCTTGGGCTAACCTTTCCAGTGATTGGGCTGAGAATTCCTTGCCCATCTTTACAAGGGGGAAAATTTTGTACAATACCAAAAATGTCCCATTTCATAAGGAGCATGAGTTGTCGAATTTGGATTACTGTGATGCGGGGCAGAAATCTGAGGGTTGCGGAAGCAACAAGGTAGAGAACGTGTGCTTTGCCCCAAAGCGCTTACAATGCAAAGGACCAGGTTGGGACCAAAGCTTCTCCCAGTCTGCGCCTATCCGTAAAAGATCCGCCCAGGGCCTCCCCTTTGAGGGAGCGTCAACGAGCAGCAAGAAGGAAGAGGGTCTTTTTGGTGGTAGCCCCCAAATGTACTTCACCCTTCTCTGCTGTGAAATTCACCTGGGGCTAACATTGCCACATTTTGGTGCCAAGTTCAGACTTTCCCCTATTCCTCGGCCTTTGATACCAGCTGATAACAATATATAAAAACCTGTTGATGCTTTTATTTTGGTTTGGGATACATTTTTTAATATTCTGCATTATAGTGTCTTTTTAAGGTTTTGACCTTTGTAAGCTGCCCAGGGAGCTCTGGCTATTGGGCAGTTTAGAAATATAAATAAAATAGTAATGGGATAATAATGATAATAATAATAGGACTAATAGGACTAATTTCGGACTGCCTCAAAAGTCAGCAGTGGGTTGAAATGGGTTTGTCTTGTCGTCAGGAAAGCCCTGGGAACATTTACCTCCCGTGAAAAACTGTCGCTTTGGGATCGTGAGTCAGGCGTGAGTCATTAGCTCTTCATGGGCTCCCCCTGCCCAATCCCCAGTTTCTGCTTTTGCAACACAAATTCTATTCTCCGTTTTATGCAGTCTGCCATCTAGAGATTAGCAGGAGATAAAAGCAAAGCGAGTGGGATTGTGCAATGCTTGCGCCACAACCTCGATCACCAGGAAGTCAGCATCCAGCACACAGTCATGGGACCCCCCATGACGCCAGCTTCTGTGGGGTGGGAGAGGCGAGAGGGACTCCCCCCAGCCCCTCGACGGCGGGTGCTTTCGTAACATACCTGCTGATTTCTTCGGCACCCATGTGGAAGAGCAGGTCTGCAGAGGTCAAGCCGAAAACCACCCCGTTGATGTCCAAGCTGCAGGGGTCCGACACAAACAGCACCCTCTGGAATTAGAAAGGGAACGGGTGGGGGATTGGGAGCTTCCGGAGCAGCCCCAAAACGGGCTCAATGGAGCAGATATTTATCTCAAGCGCTTCAGTCACGAGGGGAAGGCCTCTCAAACCAGCTCAACAGCTTTGCAGAGTCTGCAGCTTGAAGCCGGGAGAGAGCCGATTCACAGGCCCGGGATAAACACCTTGAATGGTTGCCAAAACTTGCTTCCTGGAGGGCCTTCTGCGTGAGGGCACCCGATTTACTTTCCCAGCAGAGCAATGACTAATGCTGAAATTACAATATTTTAGCATGAGACCAAAATATTTTCTGTTCTCCCAGGCAATTTCCGTTGGGTACACTGATTCAGTCACACTTTACTCCAAACTAAATGGCTTGACAACAGATTCTTTTTTAACTCTTTTATCAGATTTATCTTTGAGTCTGGCTCATCTTACTTGCCTCCCTAGTGGCCTCCCACCTTGGCGTCCATGAGGACTAGCGGCAGGCCAAATCTTTCACAAAAATAATAAGCCAAGCTTTAAAATACAATCAAGCCACCAAAGGTTCTTGGAGAGGTAAGGATTTAAAGCAGAGCTCTCTCTGGGTTCAAAGCAAATGCTCCAGGTCAACCTTTGCAACTGCTCCCATGATCTCCAGCCATCTTGCTCAACATAGGTGGAAAAAAAAAGATTGGAGAAGGCAATTCTAAGTTTGGACAGCTCCGATTTGGAGATGGCTGCTCTAACCACTACACCACGTTGCCCGAATCTTTATCCACTTGTTTACAAGAACGCATGTAAAGAATCATGAGGAAAGGATAATTCATGGAAGGCTCACAGGCCAATTCTGCTTTCAGTGGGAAATTTCAGGGAAACCGGTTCGGGAGGAACTGACCAGTGACTCCTCCCTAGGGCATTCCGCAGAAACGATACACACACAACGTGCAGCCGAGCTTGTGCAAGCGAGGGCTGCACTCGTGTCCTCGTCAGCGGCTCAAGGGAAGTCCCCACTCGATGCAGGATACATGACGCAGACTTCCTGCAAGGAGCCGCACGCGTCTTCCGGCTTTCTTCACCTGAGAAAGTGACTTTGCAGCAGGAAGGCCCCACGGGCCTGCTGCGAAAAACCCGGAAGGGTAAAGCCGAGTCCAGCTCTTGCCAAACTGAAACGGCTTCCAAGAAGTAATCTCTGCCGAGCTCAGTAGGGCGTTTCCTAGCACGACACGGAGTCTCTCTTCTCTCCCCCAGACCAACGGAGCGCTGGGATTCCTTTTAGGAAGCGGGAAGAGTCAGTTCCCGAAGGAAAGCTGCCCGTGGGCGAGAGCTGCAGTCTTTGGGGAGGTCAGGCCAGGCTAATTTCGGGGATCAGGGGCCGATTTCCCACCAGTGGAAGCCCCTGGGGGCCACATCCCTGCCTTCTGCTGCTGCAGGAGTCTCCGAACTTTGATTGGAAAAAGCATTCGTGCAAAGACGGTGCTTAAAAATTAAGGCGTGTGCCCCCCCCCCCCCGATGGGAATCCCTGGACGGTTTTGCTGCTTCTGTCATAAATTCTGCAGTGGGAGAATTTCCGCTCTGTGTGTGTAGAGTAAGGGGCCGTCAGCCCCTTAGGTGCTCCTTCGAACATCCCTAAAATCTGTTGTGCCAAGACAGAAGGCAGCCGTCTCCACCTCCGTGTTTGCCAGATGTTTCTGGCGTTCAGCGCCCATAATCCCCAGCTAGCAGGCAAGAATACTGGGAGTTAATAGTCCAAAACCTCTGCAAGGAAGCAGCTGGGAAAAGATGAATGGGACACATACCCTACACTGCAGGGGTGTTCAGAAGAGAAATATCCTATCATTCCTGGCCTTGCAAGGGCCCCAAGGAAGGTTCCAGGAACCTTCCCCTTCCCTTTCCATCCTCACAACAACCCTGTGTGGTAGGCCAGGCTGGGAGTCAGCGACTGGCTTAACGTCAGCCAGTAAGCTCCATGGCGATGGGGACTCAAACCCGGGTCTTCTGAGCCCCAGTCCGCACTCTAATCACTAGGATACCCAGCCGCCTGGTGTTTGGGGACCTCGGCTTCCCGAAGGGCTCATCAGCAAGGTCCGAAGCCAGGAATGCTGGATGCTGAGACCCCAGGGATCTCCTTTCCGCCCTACTGAGACCTGTTCTGACATGGGACCCTCCAGGCGTGTTGAACTACAAGTCCTATCATCTGCAGGCAGAGGGGACAGTGCACTTCCACCCCGCTCTAACATGAGGCCGGGGAAAGCCAGGCTTCCAGAAGGGGCTTGGCTCGATTTGGCTCGTGCCCCCCATTTTCGGCCCAAAAGGCACTGAAAGTTTGCAGCAGCTTGGCAGTCCGCGGGGTCCCACACGGTCCGAGGCTCCCCAGAATACCTTACCACAAGGGTGGTTTCTTTGAACAGCGAGAAGTACCTGCTTGTCTTCTTTCGACAGCTCGTAGCAGCCAAAAGGTGGCTGGGGGTAAATGCAGAGGTGGTGGGCGTCTCTCAGGGACGGGATGACAACCAGGTAGGAGCCGGAGCTGGCATACAGTGGGGGGGGGGGGGGGAAGACATTTGCCAAGAGGTGAGCATCAAAGGCAAGGCAGGAATGAAACGGGGTTAGGAGAGCAGTTCAGAATTTCTCAATCAGAGAAATGACGCTCTCACAGGCTGCTAGTCCTCATGGTTATGCTCTGCCTATCTAGCAAGAAACCAGCAGGGGGAAGAGAAAGCTTATGTCCACTTTGTATGAAAATGGAGGAATACAGATAACAAAAATCAGTAAATCCCAGATAATTTGTGCTGTAGTCTGGAAGTTGGCCGGTTTGGTAAATGTACCACGTTTAAACTCCCTCTTTGCCTGATCTTTCTGGTGGTGGTTAAATTTCTGAATTTTAAGCCACGGCAGACTTGAGATGCAAATCTGTTCATGGAATCAATCAAATACATAACACTTTCCTGAGTTATATAATGATATTTAAATATTTAATTGCATTTAAATGTGTTACATAAACCAAAGGGTTTTTCCATTGATTTCCTCTAGATCCCACGACAGAGAGAAGCATTTGGATAATAAAATCATCCCAGGAGGACAAAGAGGTAGGAAGAGACTTTTTTTTAGTCAATGACCGCTTAGAGTTCCAAGTACAATCTTAATTGTGTCTCTAAATGAGAAAAAGGTTGGGGAAAACACTTAAAACAGTGTGAGGACAGGCAGTGATCCGACGCCAGTGCTTGACAGAGGATGGAACGAGCTGGAAAGGGAGGGGAACGGCGCCGAAAGAAGGCCGGTTTTGTCCTTTGTTCTGTCGCTTGTGGGGAAAACACGAATGCCAATTCAGAGACTAGGCCCATCTGAGAATTCCTGTCCTCAAATACGGAGCTCAAACTTGCAGCCGAGTGTCAACTTTCCACACCAAGTGGAGCTGCAGAAGTTCCTATTTAAACCAGATCCTTACTCAGAATCATGAGGACTGCAATCTTGGGGGGGGGGGGAGAGCGACAAGATCGGAAGAGCGGCGTGGAGGGGGAGGGA